AGAGTGACAATCCCTTCCACACTGAAGACAAATACAATCTGTCCCCTGTCCAGCTCCCTGATTTTGCGGGTTTCAGGACTGCCACTTTGCCTCGGCCTGCTGAACAAGTGTCTCTTCAAATTGGGAAAGGTTATGCTGTCACGCCTGCCTCCAGACTGAACGCTCAAATGTCAGGGTTTTCCATCTGTTGAGCTCCATGCCTAAGGCCTTCAGGTCCCACTTGCAGATATCTTTGTATCGCAGCTGTTGTCTCCCTCTGGGGTGATTTCAGTGCCATAATTCTCTGCCACAATTCTCTGCCAGGAGATCTTTTGGAATCTGATCATCAGTCATTTGCACGACATGTCTGTACCAATGTAGACGTCACTGTTTCAGTAATGTATACATGCTAAAAATTCCAGCTTGTTCTCGGACTACTCTGTTGGGAACTTTGTCCTGCCAGGTGATACCAAAAATGTGTCAGAGGCAACACATATGGAAGGTGTTCAGCTTCCTCTCCTGCCATGCACAATGGGTCCAGGACTCACTGCAGTACAGGAGTGTGCTCAGGACACTGGCTCTATAGACCTGGATTTTGGTATATGCCATCAGCTTCTTATTAAGCCATACTCTCTTTGTGAGTCTAGAGAACATGGTAGCTGCTTTGCTAATGTGTTTATCAAGCTCGACATCTAGGGAGAGAGTGCCAGAGATTATTGAGCCAAAGTACACAAAGTCATGAACAACCTCCAATTCTTGTGTGGATATGGTAATAGAGGGAGGTCAGTCCACGCCTTGGCCCATGAGTTGTGTTTTCTTCAGGCTCATTGGTAATCCAAAGTTTTGGCAGGCCTTGCTAAAGTGACTCATGAGTTGTTGGAGGTCTTCAGCAGAGTGGGCAACAACAGCTGCATCATCGGCAAAGAGGAAGTCCTGCATGCATTTCAGCTGGACTTTCGTCTTCACTCTCAATCTTTAAAGAGCCTTAAAATCTTTAGAGAGCTTTCCATCTGATCTAGTCTGGAGATAGACCCCTTCTGTTGCAGTTCCAAAAGTGTGCTTCAGCATGACAGCAAAAAAGATCCCAAACAGAGTCGGTGCTAGGACACACCCCTGTTTCACTCCACTTCGGATGTAAAAGGGATCTGATGTTGAGCCATCAAAAACTACAGTACCCTTCATTTCCTCATGAAAGGACCTGATGATGTTAAGGAGTTGAGGTGGACGTCAAATCGTGAGAAGTATTTTAAAAAGGCTGTCCCTGCTAACCAAATCAAAGGCCTTTATAAGATCTATGAAGGCCACAAAGAGTGGCTGTCATTGTTCCCTACATTTCTCCTGCAGCTGTTTGAGGGAGAATACCATGTGGATTTGCTCAAAATCCACAATGTGATTCTTGATAGACTGCCTGCAAGCACCTGGAGCCTCTTCAGGGCAGCACGGGCCAGCAGCTTCCCTACAATGCTGTATCAGACTGTGCATCTCTCACTCACCATCTCCTTTGATACCAGCAGCTCAGTTTACTTCATTATTGCCAATTTCCCCTTTCCTTTATTCAAATTACTGACCACCTTTTTAACCTTACAAATGCCAAAAGGGATATGGTGGTCTTGCTCCATTCCAGGGTCGGGGTCAGCACTGGCTCCTTGTTTTCCCTCTTAGCTGGCATAAAATCAAACAAATACAAAGAGATTTTAGTCTATTTTTCCACACTTGTCCAAACACAATGCACCATGCCCCAAAATCTCAGTCTGGGTAAATATAAAATGAAATTACTGGAACACATAGAGATAAAATCAATTCACCAGCATTACTAGTCTGTGGTGAGGGACGATGAGAGCATAATTCCACAATTTTTGGAAGGTCACAAGTCACCCACTTCATTGCAGGGAGTCTGAAGGTGGCGGCGGTGGCGACGATGATGATAATAATAATAATACAGTAATTGTTGTTGTTGCTGGATAGCCTGGCTGAGTAACCAGAAGATTGGATTTCCCACTTGTCCATAGGTTCCCTTCCAGCTCTGCAGTTCTAAGATTATTTATTATTTAATAATAATAATCTTAGAACTGCAGAGCTGGAGGGAATCCAAATTGTCTCTGTGGTTTATAAGTCACACAAAAATATTGTACCAATATTGTACTAAGTGTTCTCTGTTTGAAACAGCTGGTGTGAACTGTCTCCCCACATGGATTCAGCCATATTAACCACATAAAACAAAAGGAGAACATAGTATTTTGCTGCCATGGTTAAAATGGCCACACACAAACAGTATTCCACATGCTGTAGATTCACATTCAGATAGACTTTGTTATGGTCAGTGACCCACATGGTCAATGACCTATCAAGCTTTTGCCTTCCCATGATCTCTGGACTGCGAAGATATCCTGATCATTAGATCTCATTTCCCAAAATGACACTGAGGAAGGGAGCTCATGTGGAGAGAGGTGGGCTCTAGGTATGAGATACCCCCAGTGATGTGATGCCAACAACCATGGTCTTTGTTTTTCAGGTGTGGCACGCAGTCTATCTGAACTGAAGCAGGGTGACGTTGATGTGACCAGTCCCTGTTCTCCATATGGGTTAGCAAGCTTTGAGTACTCAGAAGAAGATTTTGATAAACTCGTGGAACTGACTAGCTACAACATTCAGAATAATAAGTACTTGATCCTTCAAGCTTTGCAAAGAGCAATCAAAAGGAAAATAAAATCAGAAGAAATGGATGCCAAGTCAAGACATGTGTGATAGATGGATGCTCACACAGAATGCTCCTTTTTCCAAAGATTAATTTATCTCCACTGCATACGTCAATTTAAGAGAAGGTCAATTTGGGTCTGTGAATATAGGCCAGTATTTTGCAAACATTTGTTTGAACAAGGAGACTTTCTAAAAGAATGTTGATTCTACTTCATCATACCTCTTCTCATTGACTTGGGTTGTATTATCTCAAAGACTGATTTAAAATGTGAATTTCAGTACAAGTATAAAACGACAAGTATAATATTATTAACAGCAGCAGCAGCAACAATAGTAATAAGTAGAGTTAGCTGTATGGCTCAGTGCTTTAAGGATCTGGCTGCACAGCCGGAAGTTGGGAGTTTGATTCCCTCCTGTGCCTCCTGTGAGTAGAGCCAGCCTGTGTGGCCTTGGGCAAGCTGCACAGTCCCAGATGACCCCAGAAGAAAGGAATTGTAAACCGCTTCTGAGTACTCTCTACTTGGAAAATCCTGAAATGGGTCACCATAAGTCAGGATTGACTTGACAGCACCCAATTATTATAATGTAATAGTAAGTAGTAGTAGTGTTTAAGTACTCTCCTTAATGAGACTGTTGTCTAAGATTAAGAAACCGAAGCCTGTCCAGACCAGACAGGGGGATTTTGAGTAGTCTGATTTGCATTTAAGAGGTTCTTCTCTTCAGTGCAATCTATTTTATCTTACTTGAGCAATCTTTCCATTCACACTGAAGATGTCTAATTTTCCATGAGAAGGGTTCACAAAGGTCTTTGGATTGCCAGTTTAGTCACAATCAGGTTTACCTGATTTACAATCAGGTTTGTGAGCAAAGTTTACCTGATTTACTTATAATTAGGGAAGCAGCAGCAACACCAGTGACATGAAGAGAAAATGGGGTAAAGCCCCTAGCACTGTGCCAAAAAGGAGCAGGATAGTTCTTAAAGGGGTAGGATGGATGGATCTTAGTAGAAACACATGTTTGTACCAAATCATACCAACAGTGATCTATGAACCTGTCTGGACAGGCCCTTAGTTGAGCTTCCATCTGAGATTTCATGTTGATGTTTATATATTGTGACTGTAAGTACAGAATTTGCTTTGCTATCAGTTTTAAAATCTGGCCATTGATCACTGACTAAATAATTTTATACCTCCTTATGAACAACTGGCCAAAATCCTGGTCCTTTAACTTTACATAGTGGGAGCTATTGATGTCATCTGGGACCAGGAACATGTAATTTAAATTAATTAGGTAAGGTAAAGTTTCCCCTTGACATTTAGTCCAGTTGTGTCTGACTCTAGGGTGCGGTGCTCATCCCCATCTCTAAGCTGTAAAGCCAGCATTTGTCCGTAGACAGTTTCCATGGTCACGTGGCCAGCGCGACTAGACATGGAACGCGGTTACCTTCCCACCATGGTGGTACCTATTTATCTACTCACATTTACATGCTTTCAAACTGCTAGGTTTGCAGGAGCTGGGTCAAGCAACGGGAGCTCACTCTGTTACGTGGATTCGATCTTACGACTGCTGGTCTTCTGACCTTGCAGCACAGAGGCTTCTGCGGTTTAACCTGCAGCGCCACCATGTCCCTTAAATTAATTAAATGCTTTCTATCCCCTTCCCTTTTTTTAAGGTTCTGAGGCTCCCTGGAGTTCCCTTTTGCAAGGTGGAAACCTTTGGGAGCCTCAAATAAGAGGAACCTTTCATTGCTAAAAATTGCTATTACACCACTGCTGGTGGATTGGCCTTTAATGAAAAGGAAAAATGGATAAGTGATAAGTGAACATTGGTCACTGCTTTCTTACAGGATTTCTTTTCTTTTCTTGGTTTAATCCTTTCTTAAAAGAAAAAAATACCCTCCCCCAATAGCCACTGGGGTTGCTTGTAAATAGACCTGGTGTCAGTACTAGGACTCGTTTAGGAATGCTGATAGCTGGCAGGCTGATGGTATTTGCTGTAACATTCATTCTTTTCTACAACAGTATAATGCTTATGATGTTCAATGTGATATAGGGCACCAAGTGACAGATCTGAGTTTGAATCCCCAAAGAGTCTTGGAAACTCACCTGGGGGTGTTGCTGGTAAAAGCACTCCTTAAGTATTTCACTTACCTTAGAAGCCTTGTGAAGGTCACTGTAGGTCAGTTCTGACTTGTTGGCACATAAAATAATGTTTGTGCCTAAGGAAATGTGGCCAGGGTGATCAGAAACAAAAGGACAACCTGGCCATTTTGGTCAACACTTCCTCCTCCCATTCCAGGCTCCCCCGTATTGACAAATTGGAATGTTAAGCTAAAATCAACCCTCCACGGTAAACATGCTCTCATCATCCCTTCTGTCCATGTAAGGGTAACCAGATAAAAAGGCAGACAGGGCTTCTGTACCTTAATACTTGCTTAGAAGAGGACATTTCTAAAGGTGACATTTTTAATGTAAGCTGAAACTTCCTATTCGAAACAACTATTAAAAGCCTTCTTTTTCATCTGGTAATCACCTGAGCACATCTAGTGTGGATAGAATAGGGTAAGCTGTCTCTTTCTTGGGTCTCAGGCAAACATCTTTCATCAGCAGAAATACTAAAGTAAGACAAATTTAATACCAAGGTAAGCATTTGGTATCAAGGCTTTTAGCAATAAATCAACTCACATAATACTATTAAGGCTTGTTATAGTTCTCAGGGGAACTCACTGATTAGAACAGGTTTGAAAAGTGCAACAGGCTAAATGTCAATGCTTTTAAAAAACCCTTTATTCCAAATCCAATTAATTGACTCACTGAATCAATGGAATTTTGTGAGTGTTGACCCACCTTTCAGTAGCAGATTGAAGGAGCCTACTCTAGGTGGAAGCGACCAATTGGATTCAGGCCCTAGCTTTACACACTGTAAGATGGGTCTCCTTTAGAAAAAATAATAACAGAAATTGTGGGCTGTCTGGGTAGCCTTTCACTGAAGACAACACCAGCCAGTTCCCATGAGACCCAAGATAGAGTTCATGTATTAATTTGACCTTGGTGCTGACCACACAGATGTAGGACGTTAGTTTTGCATTGCTCTTGCTCCCAGGAAATAGCAACTTTCTTGAGACACTGCCACCCAGCATTGTGCAATGACACTGATGACACACATCTCTGCTAGAGGAGGAGGACCAGCATCTGTGTGCATCTTCCCACGCCAACCTCCAGAAAAGGATGTCTCAGCAATGCACCAGCATTCCCTCCCTACCCTGGATAAAAGAGGGAACTGTGGCTGAGGCTATCGCAGCCTTCTCCCCTGAAAAAAATAGCACAGAGGTGCCAACAGTGCTCTTGTCTCATCACTTGGAAGAGAAGAGGAAGAGGCACTTGTAACAGCCACCTTATACCTCACAAAGGGGCCGTTACGTCACACTCAATCCCTCTTCGTTTCCACTGCCCCCAACCATTCCCTCAAATAAAGCTTCAGGCCAAAGTATGATTTCAACATAAAAACTTAGGTTTATTGTGTACAAACTAAAGGAATGGTAAATCACTAGAATATAAATAATAAAGCAATCACTATAATAATATAACAATCACACACACACTCTCACAGACCCTCACTATATAGCACAGTTCTTATCTCACAGTCTCCTAGCCCTAACCGTCCCTATCTCAAAGCCCTAACTGGTCCTATCTAAATCTGTCACACCATTCACTCCCCTTATATACAACCCCTTATGTCCCACCCTCCGTCATGCCATTGGTAGATGACACACAGCTTCAGCAGTGACGGGCAGGTGATGTCATAGCTGTCTGTAACAGCACTCATTTGAATCTAGTAGCAGGCCTCAGCATTCCAAATCAAAGGAGAAAGAGTACGGGTGGTGATGTGACATGACAGGGTATAGCTGGCCATATTACACATCCACATGCTAAGAAGAAATAGAGGAGGAACAGGGGAGGCAAGCTATCTTGGGTCTAAATTATACACAGGCTAGTTATGGTCCTGATCATCCTCATTCGAGTCTTTCTCTGTTTGTGATGGAGTCAAACACCACCATTTCATGCCACTTTCAGGTCTCTTTCCTTTCAGGCATGGGACCCTGAGATCCACCATGGCGTCTTTCTTGGTGTGGGTAAGTGGCAGAAAGGGTGATGGGGAACCCTAATTCAACAAAAGCTTCAATGAAAAATCCAGTTATTTCTACCGCAGTCATCACCAATTTCCATCTAGCTGTTGCAAAAGCTGTAAATCAATCACATAAAACAGTCAGGCACTTATTTCCACCAGGGTGCAGTGCTTCACACATTTTTAAGTACAGAAATTCTGTGTGTCTGTATAAAAGTCAAAGTGTGCCTTGCGTTTGAAACATCATCAGTCGAATCATTTTAAAGTTACCAGAATTGTTTGTGCTAATTCTTTTTGAAAAACAATATTTTAAAAAAAAAACTGGAATCTTTGATGGAGATGGTCTTGTCCTAAGCAAGGCACCTCAACATTTGGTGGTCTGGGGAAAAATCTTAGTTGTTTCACACTTGTTATGACCCTGGTGTGGTGATTTACCACTATGTGTGTCTTCCTATAGCCTACCTAAAGTGGCTGCTTTTCCTAAAACCCTGTTGTTTGGGGTTATGAAGCAATGATTGTGTGTCCTTTTTCTGTAATCACATGATAATTTGAATAGGTTTCTGTGCCCATTTCTGTGTTTCATCTGCCTGAGTGATATCAGCTGTTCGAAAGGAAGTAATAAAGAGATTGTGTCAGTGTTTGAATTCTTTACCATTGACTTTGCTGTATGTCTTCTTCATTCCTTTAACAGGCAAAAGCCTTTTAAGTGTTTTCCACATCACCTACGCATCTTCCTGTCTTGCCTTTTATCATTTGCCTTGGGAGTGTGGCAATGGCAATTGTAGAGATAAACAGCACCTAATATCCTAATTAATCACTTCACCACAATGCTTCATACCAAGCAAGTTTATATGTCACCAAACCAGAACCAAACACAACATCTAAGCTTCTTCACCCCTTGGTTCCCTATCTAGATTTTTTTTCTAATTTCAGCTCACCTAACCAACCCACTGTTGTTAAGAGTATTTGATAACCTGTTAATGGTTTTTTTAAAAAAACTTTTTGTTATAAATTTATTTTAATGGGGCCATTTGAATGTGCAACTCAAGCCTTTCTGCTCCAGAATGTGGCATACTATGATCTGCATAATGTTGGCCAAACTAGCGGATATGTTTAGGTATGCAACACCTTCCCACAGTGTGGGAAGTTGGACAGATCCCTTCTCACTATTATTAATCAGTTGTTCTATGACTTGCAAGCTGTGTTCATTAAGGCGTACATTTAAAGGTGGATGCTTAAGATGCTTATTAACATTTTTCTGTCTAAAATCACGATTGCCTAGGAAGTTATATCAGTTATGCAGGGTAACTCAAACATGTCAGCAACATTACATTAGAAACTGACTAACTGTAAATAAAGAGGAGTGGAAACAGACTCCATATCCTCACTATTGTTCTATGTAAACATAACAACAACAAGTTCTGCCAGTGATATCCACCTGTCCTGTCATTCTCATACACAGACAGAAGTATATTTTCCAGAATTTATTTTCATTTTTGTTTCAAACAAATTTACTGGAACCATACAAGAAACATATGTGCCTTCTGGAACACTCCCAACACTAACCAGCAACTATCATTCTGTTAGTGGTAGAGGATGAATAGTGCTAAAAACATAGCTTTCAATCTCTCTTGTAGATATGTTTTCCCACCATTGCTATTCCACTCAGTGAACGAACCCCAGAGCAGGCTCCACTGTTCCCTAGAACTGTGGCTTACAACCTTGGGTAACCCAGGTGTAATTGGACTGCAACTCCCAGAAGCCTTCACTGCTAGCTGTGCTGCCTGGGGTTCCTGGGAGCTGTAGTCCCAGAACATCTGGCTTACACAACATCTTCAGCAATGATGAAAACCATGATGTTCGTAAGTATGAGCCAGACCCTACCAAGCACTGTTAATGTGCTACAAAAGTCCTCCTGAGTAGTTACCCTTGTGAACACTAACTGTGTAACTTCTGGAGGTGAATTGCTTACAATTAAGAAGTCATTATAGATTATATCTGACCTATGTTTTTATAACTTCAAGATTCTTTCACATTCTTTCAAGATTTCTCCAGTTCACCACTCCTGCCTTCTTAAGAAGGAATACATTTATGATCCTTGCCTCCACTGATCTGCCAGTTGACATCCTTTCGTTGCTAATCCTGACTAGCCATACAGAATGAATTTTTAAAAGGCACATGGTTGTATGGACTGCTCACAACCTGGAAAATTTATTTTTAAAAGCAATTTATTATGTTATCAGCAACAATACCCAGAACTCTAATTCTTCACTATTAATGTGGCCAAAGCATATGAAAAAACTCATCCATTACTTGTTGTGATGCTTTTTTTGTGTGTGTCATTAAAAAAAATTCCTTAGGGTTATTAGTTAGTTAAATATGTGTCATCAAGTTGGAATCAACGTACAGTATAGACTCCAAACTAATAGGACTTTCAAGGTAAGTGAGATGTTTAAGGAGTGGTTTCATCACTTCCACACCCCCAGAGAGTTTCCCTGGCTGGGCAAGGATTTGAACACCATTCCATCATTCCACCATTCCACCATTCTATCTACTACACACTGGATACTTTAGGTTTCTTAAGGGAATGGAAAAATATGTTCAAACTGCCTCTTTTAGAAGAGGCTTAAGAGTATACAGAAAACGTTACCCAGTATAAGCCTAATAAACAACTTTGTTTCCATTCATTAAGTTATTTCTCAAATATGATTTGGTTATGCCCTCATCCCCACTCCCCAAAAAAGAGGCCCTCGTACCACTATGACTTGAAGCTTCTCTGTAGATTGTACGGCAGTCAGCAATAGTGCTGAAAAATACATTCTTTTAGCTCCTCCCACCACCACTCTGCTTTTTTGTTGGGCCTAAGGCATGACTGGATGTATTCAAGATATGTGCTCTTCCATCCTAAGTTACCGTCTTCCTTTACAACACAACTTGGGGTTATCTAAAATTTGCCTCACAAACAGAAACAGCAAAACCAACCCTTTGGTGAGGCAGGAACACTCCAGATGTGATAAAACTGCATTCTCCTCCACCTGCCATTAAGTGCAATGGAAACCGTTGACCCTAATTTGTGGCACAGCAGCTTCCTGTTTCTAAATCAGCCTTATCCAAGCAAGCGAAGGTTCAAGTTAACTTTGGGGTTTTCTATTTTTCTAGCAATGAAAGTCAGATACTGCTTAATCCTAGCTAGAGGATATATAACTTTATGTGGGTATGGGATTCTGTTGTAGAACAGGAATGTTCTGCTGTATGTTTCTGTTGCTTTTAAAAAGTGAAATAGATGTGCCAAGAGAGGTTGCAGGAAATGCTATGGACATATTCGGTAATACTATATTTCCCTCCCTAAAAACCTCCCTTACAATGACACTACAATTCAACACACCATCATTCCAGGAATTAGTGGGTAATCATGCTAGAAAGTCTTTGGCACTCACAAACCTCTGTCAGGTTTTGATAGTCCCTTAAACAAGACTCTCTGGAAAAGACGCTGATGTTAGGAAAGTGTGAAGGCAGGAGGAGAAGGGTACATCAAAGGATGAGATGGTTGGACAGTGTCACCAAGGCTACCGACATGAATTTGACCCAACTTTGGGAGGCAGTGGAAGACGTGCTCTGGTCCATGGGGTCACAAAGAGTCAGACATGACTAAACGACTAAACAACAACAAAAGGAGCTACAGCCTTGAATTTAAAAAGAGCTGAGCAGGGTTGTTGAGGAAAGGACATTTTAGAGATATATTATTCATAGGGTCTCCATAACTCTGAGGCGACTTGCCAGCATATAACAGTAATAACAACACACAGAAACCGACTCAGAAAAATATTTCTACTCTATCCTTTTCCTTTACGTATTCATTTTTTTATTTTGTTTTTGTTTCTTATTTCTGAACCCAAATCCTTTTAACTATTTGGTTCTGAGAATCTGGTCCCACATCTACAACCTGGACTACTACAATCAAGATATACATTCACCATCTCAATGAGAACTGGGTTTTGTCTGAGATCCATCCGGAAAATGGAAGAATGAGGGAGCAGAGAGTCGGCATTTTTCAAGTGTGGTGCCTCCTGTAGAATTCCTTCCTACCTAAATTACTCTCAAGCATTTCATTTAAAGTTTCTGAAAAATAGCTGGAGCCATTTTAGTCTGGCAGGCATCTGGGAGAAAGACCACATTTTTAACTGTAATATTTGAGACTTTGATTTAGTGATTGTACAACACACACACACACACACACACCGAGCCATAGAGTCTCATAGTATCAAAAACAAAGAAAATGACAATGTGAATAATTAATATTTTCACTCCAATTTTATAGATTCTTCTTTCCATTCTCTAATTCTAATACCACAACTTTGTAGCCTAGAACAGAGGGAAAAGACAGATGAACTCATGCTTGTTCTGTACTCAATCTTTTACATGGGATTTCTTTCATTCAAGTGTATCTAAGGTCAGACTTGGAAATATGTTATATCTGCAGGTGCTAATGAAAATTTGGAAAACAGTCCTCAAACAGGATTTATAGTGATGCTATCTTCATAATTGCGAGAGTTATCTCCCTTTTTATTTTAATTCCTTGAGTTACCCTGAGTTGGGATAAGCGTTTACATAACTATGTGTACATATTACGCCTTCTTTTTATCTGAATGGGAGTGAATGTTCTCAGATTTCAACATCTTGGAGGAAAGATGGGAAACCATGAGGCCCCCACAAATAGAGAATATTACACTTGGCCATTGTGTAATCCTGTTGCTTAGTGTAGTAAATCACACTAGAGCAGGCCCATTGAATCAATGGAGATTTCATGAGTCATCGCCTCCATACGGTCTATTGATTAATGGGCCTACTCTACTGCAATTTACTACACCAAACCACAGGATTTTGGCCGATGGATATCCTGAAAAGCTAACTAGCAGGGCATTTTGGACAGCACTTTGGTGGACAGCTTCATGATTAGTTCTGTATAAATATTACAATCTGCCCTGAATCAATCTTGATACTTTCCTT